ATGCTATGCAGTTAGGGATACAGTCATGTTAAAATCAAAAGTCAACAGCTATCCATCAAATGAGTATGAGGCTCAAATATTCATTTAACTGTCAACATTCATATTAGTTTGTGGTTGCTTTATCTGATTTTATATATGTATGCTTCTTTTTACAAGCTAAACATTTTCATATAAGAGGGTTCCACATCAATACTGAATGTGGTAAAAAGATGTGATTTAATTACTCAGTGTAATCTTGAACGTTGAAACCACTTTGCAGAACATAGCAACTTTAAATGTCACTTAGCTTTAAAAGGCAACTGAAGTCAAGCAGTTACTGGGTTCCAAAGTAATGAATCATTAATTGCATATTTTTATTTTTCATTTCCTCCAACCTCCTGTTTTCATTCCTCCATGGAAAGTGCTGACAGATGCTGAAATACAATTTCACAGGCCTCCGGTACCTTAGCTAAATGGCGATTCTCAAGCCCAGTCAGTGAGTGTCAGCACAGCTGAGCACAACCCTGACATCCGCACATTGGAATTTCAAGTGATAAATAGACTTTGAGGTGCAAGCACATCCTCCTTTGGAACAATGTTTGGTTCTGAAGTATGTCTGCCATTTTTACAGTTTTTTTTTAACATTTCTGATAATGAAGAATTGTGTTTCACTGTCACATCACAAAATGCTGGCCCAACTGAATGTGAGTTACACTGGTATTCCAATAAGGTGACCCTGGGATGCTGCTTTCTCCAATTTGGAAACAGCATTATGCCAAAGTTTGGGATGAACCCTACCTCCATCCCCCACTTTGGTACCATGGTTGGACATGAAGATTTCAGTATTACTATTGCTGTCTTCGATTGTGATCATCAAAATAGTTCTTCTCCTTCACTCAAGATTAAACAGAGATAGAGTACAGTTCCCATCGTCTGATACCTGAGTTTATTTTATTAAAATCATCTGTGCCGTTCTTTTCACTAAGATTTCCATTCCTTTTATTTTCTTTCTGCTCTTTGCAGTGGCAAAGGTCCTTCCTAGGAAGGAAGCAGACTTAGAAGTAAATGACAGGGCTGGAGAGTAACACTATTTAATGTGTATTCAAGAGCACTTTGCTCTATATTGTTTTTTTCCATGCAGCAAACCAAGTTTACCCTCAGTTCTAGTAAGAACAATATGTCAACCTCAATCATGAAAATATCTATCAATAAAATTATGTGCCATAGTGTAGAAGAAACAACTTGCAGGCTCGCCTATCTGTCTCTTTTCTTATCTCTGCCCAGTTTCAGTTCTTGGTATCCAAAACTCTATAAGTGATTCCTGTAGCTCAATGGTTAGAGCACCTGCTTTCCAAGTGAGACACCTGGGTTCAATTCCCGGCAGAGCGAAACCGTGGCCAAGTTTCCTTACTCCACACGCCTAATAATAATCCCTCACCAAAAAAAAAAGAAAAAAATTGGTCACTTCAATCCACGACTGTTTGTGGGACACTGCTGTACGCAATTAGCTGCCGCGTTCGCCCACAAATATACAGTCAATTCACTTTACAGTGTGTTCTGTGAAGCGCTTTGGGACGTCCTTCCGACGTGAAAAGCGCTATATCAAATGCAAGGATTATTATTATTATCATTATTCAATGAGAATGAAATATGAGAGTGAACAAGGAGTCTTAGGAATACCTGGGTCATAGATATCAATTTCTAATTCTGAGCTGCAGGATGGAGAGAACCTATGAGAGAAGCAATAGGGTTCTGCCACTGAATCACCTTAAAATCAAACTAGTGTAGATTCCCAACTAAGAGTATGTTATTACAAAACAGAACCCATCCCGATTAGATTGGGAGAATAGAAAAATATAATGATGTGCAATCACGTGTTATTATGTTCTATAGAAGCTAGTTTCTGGACTAGATTTCCTCAAGTCCTTGCGCCATCAGATTAGCATTAACAGAATTGTACAACTCCTCAGTGATATATCAGCTTTACGCTCATTGAAGCTAGAGAAGCCAAAAGATGGGAATGCCCGAAACACTGATTATTTTTGTCAGTCTAGTGTCTTACACTTAGATACCTATCATCATGCTTTAGAATATCCAAAGCAAACTATTGAGAGTGCCACATGTGGATAGACATATATGGCAGACTGACTGGAATCATAGGATTGTGCAATTGATTCTTCAAGAGTAAATAGTCATTTGCCACAATATTTATTCACTTGAGAATCTTTTTTCCATTGTCACATGTGGTAGTACTTTTCAATGTAATGAAAGGTTTGCCTAAATGTCTTTTTACATTTAACTTACTGTGGCTTGAAATACACATTGTACAGGTAAGTGTGTGTGTATGTGTAATTATCTGAACTCTAGCCATTGCATACCTTCTATTCTGTGCAAATCCTTATGCACTCAACGGATATTTCCATCTGAAATGATTCATGAAATGAGAATGTTGTAGAGAAAATGGTTTGTAATTTTCACTTTTTGCTTACTTTAAACAAATCCTGGGCTAAAAAACATTCAGGATGTAAGAGGATCCCTTTGCAGAATGATGCCTCACTCTTGTATCTCATAAGGAGTGGATGGGATGTGAAGGAGAATCCACTTGGTCATTGGACCCTAAAACAAAACCACCCACTGATCATAAAGCAGTGGAGGTATGGGGCTCCAGATGGGATGAATAGTTGTCAGTGAATAGTATAAACTGACCTGCCGATGAGCTGAAGAGCACAATCATATCTCTTTTGCTGTGCACTTTACAGTAAAAGGGTATTGAGGTTTAATAGTTTCAGATTAAAGGGAAATTGAACCTGCATAACTTTCACATATCATTTTGGGTTTGCATTCAGCCTGCTCATGACATCATCATCCATAATGTCTTGTAATCTAAAATATTAAATGTCTGTTAAATTTAATTAACAGGAACCCATTCCATTCATTGTGTCATAGTACATGGTAGTGTTCTGATGTATTGTCTGCTATTTGTCCTGAACCAACAGACTTATGCCATCTTTGAGAGCGACTGCAGAGTCAATCTCCAATTTTTATTTATCTGCCCTTACGACTGTGCACTTCGAAATACAGCACAACTTTGAAATATAAAAAGTAAATGGATATTTTTTTAACGAAAAATATCGAGAACTGCAGCCTGTTACCATTCCAAGCTCAAGTTGATATCAACAACAACAACAACAAGATTACATATGTATATCACCTTTCACGTCAGGAGGACGTCCCAAGCATGCCTTCAGGCACAGGCTCAAGGTCCTTAATGGATCACAGACTGGCTGTAGGTGCAATATAAAACAGCTAGACTCTAATGTGACTGGAGTGATCACATTCACACATGAAGACTGTAGACAAAATAATCCATATTGATTACAAGAGCTGTTTACTGAAAATAAATTGTATGTTTTAATTAAACTGTAGAGATCTGGTTGCAAGAAAACACAGTATTACTTCCCCTGTAGCAGTCTTTTATTTTCCTAAATGCCAATTGGCTACTTTATAGTTAAGGCTATAAGAAAGTCCAAAAGTTGCAGCCACTTTGGTTAAAGTGATTTTGATGTGGTCAGTTCAAGTTCACGTATCTACAGTGAGTACACATTCCCATTGGGCCATCCACCTGCCTATCAAACTGGCTCACGCTCCCATTGGACCATCTGCCTGTCAATCAGCCCATCCCATGCTTTCATTGCATCTTAGAGACAGGTGGAGGGCAGGTTGATGGACAGGTGGATGGTCCATTGGGAACATGTGCTCACTTGTCATTAAAAGGTACGGCAACTATAAAAAGTTGTGTGTGCTAAAATTTGCACTTTCCGCAATAAAATTGATTTTCATACAGCCTTATTTATAGTGCATTATTCACTCCTCTCTGATCCCATTGTCCAGTACCTTAGGATTCCTCCTGACGTGAAAGACGCTATATAAATGTAATTTGTTGTTGCTGGTATCAGTGGGCCATACCTCATTATCCAGGGAGATTCCTGCCACCTTTCTGGTAAGAAGTTGGTAGATTCATTAGCTAGTAATAATAGTTGTTTTATAGAACTAATATAACATTTATTCATTTGTAACTGATATCCTGCTAGATCCTGTGGGAGGTCAGCAATAACATTCACAAATGTGAGATGGCAGCAGTCTGTTTGTTTGTCCATTCGGAAAGCTGGGCCCGATTTTATATTGTTTGCATTACCGTCAAATGTCAATAGGTTACAAATTGTGCTATAAAGGAAGGCTCAGTGTGAACTGTAAATGGATTATTGCCAGCAGTTCCATGAAAGTTGGATAGTATTGCTTTATGCTCTCACAAATTGATTTTTCCAATTAAAACCTAGATATGATGTAGGCACCTATGGTATTCCAACTTTCTTCAGGAAAGTGTGGAGTCCTGTAGCTCAGTGGTTAGAGCACTCGCTTTGCAAACGAGAGACCTGAGTTCAATTCCAGGCAGGGCGAAATCTTGGGCAAGTTTCCTTACTCCACACAGAGCCTAATAATAATCCCTCCAAAACAAAAACAATAATAAATTGGTCATTTTCAATCTACGACTGTTTGTGGGACATTGCTGTGCGCAATTGGCTGCCGCGTTCGCCCACAAATATACAGTCAATTCACTTCTGTGAAGCGCTTTGGGACGTCCTCCCGATGTGAAAAGCGCTATATCAAATGCAAGGATTATTATTATTATTAAAAACATTCATATTTGAAAGGAAACACAAATTTAAAATGGGTGTGAGAGGTGTAAGCATGGTTCCTTAGCTTGCTGATGTCTTGGAGACTGTGATACCTAGACACAATAGAAGCTATATCCAAAACTAATTGCCATATTTATATTGTGCCATTCTGCAGTACGGTGCACATCAATACAGCATCAAAAGCAATCTTAGCAGACTGGCTGGCTCGGTTGAACCAGTGCAGAATATTCTATAAAACCGGGCCCTCTTTGTTCATTTGTTATATCATGGCAGCATGATGTATGCATAAATGTCTTTTTGTCTTTTTACCATTTCCTTTCATAGAAATTATCCTGCCTACTATTCCAAACCCCATTCAAGGTCAGTATGGATTGGTCATGATTCTAGACATTTCTGTTAGACTAGAAGACAGTAGAAATGTCTTTCAATAGGCCTTTTGACTTAGGCTACTAACATATCAAAGATACATTTCAACAAATATTAACTCCTGTTGAGGGTGATGAAGCTAAGATATTGCCTTTGAAATGGAATTGTTGGTTATTATATCCAAAATGAAGATGATTCTTATTCTACAAGGGCATAAATGTTAGCGCTATTTCCTTATAACAGCAGTCATTATTTGTCTTGTTATACCCTTGGGCCACAAAAGCATTTTTCTGCATAATATCAAGGGTTGTCTGTTGACTTCTTTCATACATTGTGTTTCCTAACACAGTTTCAGTGTAGCATAAAGCTACACTTTGAAGTTTGCTTTTTTTATCTCGTTGACTAATCCTGTACACAGCCGCAGTGTGATAGCATGTGGTGTGACCATAGGCGCTTTGTGCAATGATACTGATGGAGCCATCTGGTGTTTTCAAAGATTTACAAAGAAGTACAGCACAGAACAAGCCACTTGGCCCGAGAAGTCCGTGCCGGTGTTTATACTCCACATAAATCTCTGCCCATTCCTCTCTCTCATGTGAAGATCTAGCTTCTTCTTGATTATATTGACACTATTTGATTTAACCACCACTTCCAGCAACAAGTTCCCCAATCTCACTACCCCCTGTGTGAAGTAGTTCCACCTAAATTCTCTTTTTGATCCCCTAGTTGCTATTTTATATCTGCCCCCCCACCCACCCCCCCCCCCCCGCCCGGCTACAGATGCCAATGGAAGCAGCCTATCTATCTTAAACACTGTTATAATTTTAAACATCCAAATATGACTAATCACCCCAGTGCCTTTGTCTTATCAGAACATTCCCTCCCCACCAGCCATTGGAAGGCACTGTAAATAACAGACCGATACCTAGAATTCAGTCTTTTTGTGCCTCTGTTTCTTAGCATTTTTTATACAAAACAAATGTTATTGCAAGGAAGCCATAATTGTGTGCTGAGCATTGAAATCTGAGGCATTTCCTGAAATCGTTCCACAGACTTGGATAAAGTCTCATAAAGATGCTCTCAAGACAGAGATAAGAACCTTTGAGTACTTTTGTAAAGTGGAACTAGAAGCTGCAATGAAAGTAACAGCAAATTATGTATTTCACAGCACAGTAAGTGATTTATTTATTTAACTCTCTTAACTGAAGTATAAATTTGTTACACAGATTGTGACACAGAAGTGGGTAGGCATATTGTTCATACAAAGCAATCACAGATCTAAATAGAACAAAGTCATGACAAAACCATGATGTTATTTTAACCTATGTGTAAATCACTGCCTATAAAAAGATGAAAATATTTGCCGAGCTGCATGAAGTCATATTAGCTGTAGTGTGAATGTTACTGAGTCCAAATCATTGCCTGAAGCCAATAAATCAGCAGGTGAAAACTTTGGTATGGCTATATATTCATCAGATTTTCATTTCTGGTTCTAGCCCAAGGGTGTAATAAAGACTTAGATTGTTCACTGAAACCATTGATACAAGTCTATTCATAAGTGGGTTCCCAGAGTGTCTTGAATCCATTGTTTGGATAATCCCTGTAGCTCAGTAAGAACCAAACAAAATTCATAATTTATTTTCAGTTTAAATTTTATTAGAACCTCCCTTTTGTTGCAAACATACCCTAATCATCAAACGTTATTACAGCATCAAAGGAAAAAAATAGTTGACATTCAACTACCCTAATCCTTTTGAACAGTTTCCTTAACAAACAAACTCAGTATCAGGAGTGAACAATCTTAATCTTTGCTGATTAGTTTTGCCTGTTAAACAGTTTCAGAGGTTCTCACACTGAAACTAAGTATTGTATAGACCATTCTCTTTACTAGGATCATTAGGAATAGTTTCCTCCCTAGACATTATGAAGGTGAGACGACAGAATCAGAATCAAGCCCCCCGGGGAATGGAACTGCAAACTGGAGCAGCAGAACTAGGTTCCCTGAAATTAACTTGATCGCAAAGGATTCATGCAGGATAGAAACTGGGTGAAGGAATATGCCTTGCAATGTCTAGCCTCAATCAGTGAGTGCTCAAACACATACCAAAGTATCCTATCCACCTGCGTTGTGATTCATATTCAACAGTATATTCTTTGGCAACCATCTGTATTATATGTTTTTTTCCCCCTTACTCCCTCACTTAATGGGCCACTTACTACCATATGTCCTCTATTTCAGAGAATGGTACCATTCTGGATCACAGATATCTCTATGCCAATTAACAGGATTGCACTGTGATTCCTTGGTATGAGGGATGCTGATATCAGATTTCTTTTTCTCAACACTTTCATGAGTTGCTCTGTCTAGTGACTCATTCAGGACTTCACCAGATTCAATACGTTTAGTTCCCCATCCTTTATTAAATATCACTCCAGATGAGATTGATAGCTTCTTCTTATCAGTTATCATTTATATATAAAGAATAGAATCATAGAATCGTACAGCACAAAAAGAGGCCATTCGGTCCATCAAGTTTGTGCCGGCTCTTTGAATAGAGCAATTAATGTCAATCCCACTCCCCACCCTTTCCCCATAACCCTGCAAACCCGTCCTCCTCAAATACCCATCCACCGCATTTTTAAAAGTTGTTATCGAATTGGCCTCGACCACCCTTTCAGGCAATGCGTTCCAGATTCGAACAACTCGCTGCATGAAAAAATTCTTCTCACCTCCCCTCTGCTTCTTCTAGAGACTATTTTGAATCTGTGACCTTGTGTCACCGACACACCCACCAGTGGAAACCGTTTTTCCCTTTCTAACCTATCAAATCCCCTCATGATTTTGAAGACCTCTATTAGGTCTCCTCTATTAGCACCTTCTCTGCTCCAATGAGAATAATCCAAGCCTCTCTAGCCTTTCCTCATAATCAAGGTTCCTGGTACCATCCTCGTAAATCTCCTCTGCACCCTTTCCAATGCCTAAACATCCTTCCTTTCGTGTGGTGCCCAGAACTGGGCCCAGTATTCTAACTGAGGCCTAACCAGTGTTTTATATAAGTACTAAAACTGAAAATGAAAACAGTAAAAGGTATGTCACATTGTACAATTTACATGGTTTACTATGCTACCTCAAATGGTCTATACAGTATTCATGAAGTCTAAAGCCAGTCATAGTAACAGACTAGAGTTTTTGATTTTACTAAATCTAGTGTAGTTTCTGTTTAATAGTGGACAGTGCATGTGCCTCTGTCTCACAATCGTGGTGTGCATTTTGGACAACATTCTACTCATTAATTTATGAGGTCTCCTCTTCCTCATCTTCCTCTTATTTTAACTGAAGAAAAATTGTAATTGATTCTTGTCGAAAAGGATGCCTTTGTCAAATGAACTATCTGCAAATCTACACACATCAAGATTATTCCCAATGGCTATGTTTTGCTCCTTATTTACCAGTTTACCAGGTAATATATTTGTTTCTGGGAACAAAGGTCATGGCAGAAAACTCAAGGAGCATACATTATGCTGGATTGCTCCCAAGCCCAGTGCTGATGCTCAGCATGATGTACTTGCACCACAGCTGATTTGCCCCCAAACTGACTTTAACAGTAAAGGCAATAAGTACAATATATGTAATACATGTTATTGAACCAAACAAAAGATGTAAATAACACAAGCTTTCAAATTCTGAAATTAAACTGTTTTGCAAATGACTGAGTACATCAGAGATTTAACACTTAAAACCACTAGTTTCACTGTGACTATCTCTTCCTTTACTATCAGTGTTGACTAAAACAGAAATCAACAGTGTGTGGCATAGAAGGTAAAGTAGGACTTTCTTCATTGAATGTAAATTAGTCTGATTCATTACCTTTCAAAAGTTTCTTGTTTATAATTTAGAAAAATGTCACCATGAAAATCGTTTTTCACAAGTTAACAAGGAATCCACAGAAGACTGTAATAAGAAGTATTATGCCTGGTCCCACTTGTGTTCTACTTATTAAAAATCTGGAACATACAGAAAGATACACTCCAATTTGAAACCTTGGAATGGAGGCTGAAATAACACCTTTGGCATGTGGCCAGACATGTCTCCCTTAAAATTAAAGCAGCATGGAATCAAAAGCCTTCATAAGGGGAAGGGAAAATCTTTCAGTTGTATTTTTTGTTTGGAGGGTGAAGCTAGATATAGATGTAACTATAAATCCTTCATAAGGCTGTTCATTTTTTTCTGAATAATTCAAGTTCAGAATTATTTGACTTTATTACTTATTTAAGAACAAACTAATTTGCCATCAGTCCAAAGGCTTCCAAGGGGTCTAATTAAGAAGAAAAACTTCAAACACAGTAAATCAAAGAACGTTCCAGTGGGAAATTGTGATCAATTAAATATGTGCTGCCTCCATCCTTTGTGGATCTCAGTTTGGGCTGGAATGCAATGATCATATTGGGTTTAAGTACTCACTTCACCTCGCCCCACGTGGCTCTTCGTCTCTCACCGCTCTTCAGCACTCGCCACTCTTCAAGAATCTCATCAACAGTGTTAGCTTCCAACTCCTAGTGTTGTAGACACTGGCTTGTTTATTTTGGATGCTACTTTCAAAGACACTGGATTCATATTTTGTTCATCTCAATTTTCTCTCCTCTCATGAACTCGCTGGCCAGTGGACCATTGCTTGGACACTGTTTAACTTTCTGCCATCTTTATTTATGAACTTGTAGAGTGAGTGGCAAACTAATCAAGGCCAAAGGCCTTCACAGCTGAGTTCAATCTTGCCCTTATCTACTTGCTCCTTCCAGAAATGCTGAGACCTCTTGTTATGATCCAACTGTGTCCCAGGTGAGATCACATTATAAGGATTACAGAGTTTAGAAGAAACAAAGAGCAAACATAATTCCACAAATTGCAACCTAAATACAGTAGCACTTTAGAACTGTCAGTAAATTAAGACAGCAATCCAATCTCAGAATTGAAAGCATGAACTTTAACCTCCAGC